CTATCTCGGTGACATTTGGCGCTACCTACATCCCCCACCTCCTTCATCTCTCCTCCCACCTTTCGTCTGTGTATGCGTGTACGGGGCCTGAGCATCTTCCATGATTGGCTCAGACCCCACCATCTCACGATTGTTTGTGTGTGGAGTGATATCTCTGTGAGTCAGTCTATATGTGAGCCAGTCCATATGCTCATCCTATATTGGTTGATCTTTGGTTCTGCCCCATACTCGTTGAAGTATTCACGAGTATGCAACAGTTTTGGTATCGGAGTAGACCAAACGATGGATCTGCTCACCAGGTAAGTCTGATTTAGGAATATCTTCCAAATCAGCTCTATATTGTTGCAATTTTTTTTTTCTTTTTTTCGGTATTCTGTTCAAATCGGCACTCCGTTTCAATTCGGTATTCGGACTTTCAATTCGGATTTTTGTTTTACTCCGGTATTCTGTTTAATTCAGGTTCGATCAATTGGTATTCTGGGTAATCCGATATTCTATTTTAATTCGAATTTCTGATGCTAATTCGTTATTAGGGTTAAATCAGTACTCCGATTTCAATTCGGCATTTCATTTTTTATTTCGGCATTCTGTTTTAAATCCTGTATTTCGTTTTTTCTCAATCGGAAATTTCGTTTTATTTCGGTATTGGAAATTAGGTTACGATAGCTTTCGGTTTTGTTCAAATTGGGAAATTCGAAGGTTTTGGAACCGTAATACCGAAAATTCCGCGGAATCGCGGAAAATTAGGGTTGGACTCCGAAATTTTCACGAAATTTTTTTTCTTCCCCTAATTTGAAAATTTCGAAAACGGACATAGGCCTTTAAAAATCGGATTTTGTGGGTTGAAATTCCTGAAATTTCACGTTTTTCAAAAATTCGAGTATTTCTTTTCCTAAATTTCCGAAAATTTTTTTGGCAAACTGTTCGTAATTGTTCCCCCAGAATCGCAACTTCCGGGTAGTTCACTATTCAACGGTGAACTCCCGGACTATAGATGATCTCAATGGATACCTAATCTTTGCAATTTAAATTCGGTAATTATCATTATTGCAATCATTGTTTTATTGATTATTATTAAGAAATACTAATTCATTATTAATCATTAATTAAACTTCATTGATTATTAATTCGTTATTATTTCCTTATTTACGAATTTTTAAATTGTTTTCGGGGAACGTTTATCTTTTCTGGTTGATTAGGTATCTTAAGTCCATCATCAGGACAGGGGCTGTATGTGAATTGCCTGATCTGTTCTAACCCTGTACCCACCCTCTCCCTCTCACTGTTCTGCGACCTTTCGGACGGGCCACCCTTCAACAACAGTTCACTGATGCCAGCAGGGCAAGCCACCGAACAGCAGCCACGACGCAGCAGGAGAATCGCAGATCGCCAACAGCAACCTGCAGTTCGACAGCAGCCACCGACCGACACTCAGATGGCGAACACGCCGAACAGCGGGACGTCATCCGAGACATCGACATCTAGCAATGCCGAACCATTGTCGATCTGCCCTGCTCAAGGGATGAATGAGCCCATCGCGGACTACATTCAGAGAGTGCAGACCTATACGGCCGCACTAACCCTTGCCAAGGAACGGCAAGACGCTGCCGAAGCAGACAAACAGCGGCTAGCAGCAGAAGCTGCAGCCCGCGCCCAGCAACAAGCTGAGGCGGTGCAGTTGGCAACAGACCAGCTCAACGGCAACAGTGTCGAGCTTCTGATCTCTCAACAAGATCAGTGGACAGCGGTACTCAACGGGATGCGTTATGTCCCCGTAGCGGGCGCCGAGCCAACGGCAGTACAACAGGAGAGACAAAACCTGGCAGACATTCTACTCAACACAATGTGTGTCGTCATCTGGAACAGCACCATGGGGGAACTTCATTCCCGATCTACACAACAACTACAGAACGATCTCACCCATAACGTGAAAACGCTGGCAGCAGCCGTTAAGGTCGTGGACTCTCAGCTGAAACAGATGGATGCCCGCATTGCTACTCTAGAGGCAAGGCCTTCCCAAGCAGCGCCAGGCTGCACGACAGACACGACGAAGCAGCTCAACGGGCGCATCGACCATGTCGTCAATTTCATCGGCGACCTAGGCGCTTTCACTAGTACGGACACGATCAGCAGCACGGTGGCCGCCATCAAGACAGACATCACCAAGCTGCAGACAAGACCGGACGCCGCTACAAAGAACTACAAAATGCCGCACTTCAACATCAGCAAGTTCGACGACTACAACAAGACAGACGCCTTGACATGGTGACAAGGCTTCCTGCGGAAGCATCCTGCCGCACTGTCCCGGCTGAAGACACGTTGAAGGCGCTCTACCTACAACTGATTGGAGGAGCACAGGCATGGATGAACCACCTTGAGGCCACCAAGCAATGCACCATCGCCGAACTCCACACGCACATTACGTGGAAGGAGTTCGAGCAACTATGGTTCACTCGGTTCATGGTCCGCAACGTCGTGAAGGCGGCCATGAACGAGATGTATACCAGCTCACAAGGAAGCATGCCAACTCGAGACTGGACAATTAAGTGGCAGAAGATAGTGACCACGCCAGGCTTCGATTTGAGTTTTCCAAACCAACGATCCGAGTTTTTCTCGCAATCATGCGCAGGACTGCGGTCGGCACTCGACAACGAGTACGACTATGCCTCATTCCAGGCATTCTGGATCGTGCGAACCTAGTCATCCAGACGGACGACAAGGCCGCTCATGAGAAACAGTCCCAGCCGCACTATGTGGCTAAGCAGGGCTATCAACGACCGACACATAACAATGTCGTGATTCCTGATGAATCAATCTATCTCCACGCTGCAGCAGCATCCTCAGGTCATGGAGGAGTTCTTGCAGCGCTTCCTCCGAAGCGTCCCAAGAGAGTTCGGAAGAACAAGGCAACAGACGCGACAACATCGGCAGGAACTGGGCAGCAACCATGGACGGCATACAAGATAACCAAGGAAGTATATGACCTTCGTCAATGGTACGAATATTGCCTTTGGTGCAATGGTGTCACTCATTTGACCGCACAATGCCCCGACAAGGGCAAGGCACGTGTACCCTGTCCAGCAAACTCAGGAAACTGAGTTGCGCAAGGAGAGAGGCGACGTCTCTCCTCAATCCGCCGGAACCGGTTGCCTTGCTAGCAATCGATATCACTACCGGGGAGCATGCGTTCGTCGCTGATTCTCGTGCTACGTACGAGGATTATGCCGCCCAGTTGGTACCACCACTAGACCAGTCGAACCACGTGCACTTAGATCGCGTATGCGCAGCCTGTACACCGTCGGCAAGTGATCCGGTCAGCTCGCCACTGATTTCCGAGGACTCAACGGCGTGGTCAAGACTTAACTTGACCCGCTCACGAGAAAGGACTTCGCTTGGATGCCTCTACCCTCAACTGGAACCTTGCCAAGGCCGCATTGCAACGCCTTAATGGCAAATCTACGCTCCTATTTGCACACTACAATACCAGCTCCGTTGACGGATGACGGGGTAGCGGTTGTCGATCTCCGCTCCTATCTTGCGAAGATTGACCGCGAGTACGCCACCCAAAGGTACGCCGAAACCGACGCTCCTTTGCTCTATATCCGCATTCAAATCGGAAAGGCAACTTGTAGTGCCTTGATTGATTGCGGAGCGTCTCGCAACTTCATGAGCCAAGCCTTTATGGCCCGCGCAGGCCTTGGCCCGCGCGTTCGAAGCAAGACGCAACCTACGCAAGTTACACTCGCGGACGGCCGCATGCAAAAGTCAATTGACCGATGCGTCGACGGCGTTCTAGTATACTTTGCACCACTTGCATGCGAGCCGGTGTCTTTTGACATCCTCGACACCAAGTTCGACATGATTCTAGGCATGTCTTGGTTGCGTA